CCCCCGGGGAAGGAAGAGGATGGGAGTGAGACAAACCCTTGTGTTGAGGGCTGGCTTTCAATAGATCACAGTGAGGGAGCTGCTCTGCTACCTAGGAAACCCCGACCCAGAAGCAGTTCTCTACAAATGGTTTAGCACGAGGGGTGGATGGGGGCCGGCCAGGGGAAGGGGCTGCGGGAGGTTGGCTGTGGGGATGCACTGACTACCAGGGGACAGCTCCCGCGTTGAGCGTCTGCCTCCTGGTGGTCAGTGTGCGTCATAGCGATTGGTCGTTCTGTCGTAACAGTCACTTAGGCTTTTAGATATAGAGATTTTTAAAACTGGAGAACAGTCAGGGCTTAGCTTCTGAATGTAAAAAGTCAAATCAAAACTGGAAGAAAATATTGGCTTAAATAAGAGAAAATATATTAGTAAATGTATATAAACAGGCATTTAATAAGCTGAATATTTTTCTGTCCTTTTGGTAAAATAATTCCGTTATTTCAGTAAAATAATTGTTACAGTGTAGCAAAAATTTTTTATATTAATCAGCATCATATGACATTACCTAACCCTTAAAAATTCTCTGTAATATCCTTTTTTCAAATCAACATTAACACATTAGGGTCCTGGCCAGTGTGGCTCAGTTGGTTGAGTGTCATCCCATGCATCCAGAGGTCCCTGGTTGGATTCCTGTCAGGGCACATGGGCTCGTTCCCCAGTAGGGGGCATGCAGGAGGCAGCCAATCAATGTTTCTCTCATCAATGTTTGTCTCTCTCCCTCTCCCTTCCTCTGTCTCTAAAATCAGTAAAAAAAAAACATACTAGTATATTAAAAAAAGATATTAGGTGAAGAACAAAGATGTTTAAAGTTGAGTTACACTCTCTACACAAATGTAATTCTTATGTCCACAAAAAAGCAAGAATTTTTCCAGGAGCCCTGGTTTGGAGAGGCTTTCGGGTTTTAATAAGTGTGTTCCTGTTCGTACTGGGCCTGCAGGAAGGAAAATTTCTTCTGATATGCATTCCTACTAGAGAGCCACTGCTCAGAGGGTAAGTTTGGGCTTCAGTGTCAGGCAAATAGATTTGATGCCTGGTAGCTGAGTGATAGCTTGGGCAAGTTACTTTAAGCTCTCTACTCAGTTTCTTAACTACAAATAAAGTTAGTAGGGTTGTATGGAAAATTAAGTAAGATATTGTACAGTAAGCATTTAGCTAAGTAGCTGATACCTACTGAACCGAATGCCTGTTCTAGTAGAAACTGATTACCTGGGATATTTCTCTTTTTTTAAAATTTAAATTCTTTATTGTTAACAGTATTACATATGTATCCTTTTCCCCCATTGACCTCTCCCGGCCACCCCTACCCCCCAGCACATGTCCCACCCCCCTAGTGTCTGTGTCCAATGGTGATGCTTATATGCATCCATACAAGTCCTTTGGTTGATCTCTTATCTCCCCCTCCCCCCACCCCCTTACCTGGGACATTTCACATTGATGTGATACAGGTCTATTTTTCCTCAATGTCTTGTTAAAGATTTCTGGTCTCATTTTCTCAGTAACAAACTTTTCTTTAATTGGGGTGTTGTGAATGCATCTGATGTTCTTTTATGGCACTGACATAATCCTCTTAATGCTTCACATAATCCTCTTACTGTTTGTTTTCCAAAATGTATAAACAGTGATATTTTTTTTTTTTTTTTTGCTGACAGATTCATATGGGAAATTGTGTTTTGTATCCATCTTGATTTGTTTCTATTTTCCTTTTCATTCAGCTCCAGATAAATGCAGTTGATCATGCCAACAGATGTATAAAGTCTCATCTGACTAGCTCCATCATGTGTCTAGAATGAGTTTTACAATTTTAAAAGCTGATTTCACTTCATTGCTATTATAAATATCTGGTAATATATTAGAGTCCTCTGAAAAATAAGTGTAAATCAAGAAAATTGGGGGAAAAATTAAAGTAAGGATTTGGGCGGGGGATGAATTTGGTAAAAAAAAAAAAATCTAGGATGACCTTAATTTATTATTCAAACTAGGTCTTTTTAGGGATGCAAAAAGGGTATAGTTAATTATTTCACTGAGATAAAGGCATAGACCAGGACTCTCCCAGATAAACCAGAACATACCCTCACCCTCGCCAAAACTGACAATGTACCTCCCCAAGATGGGAATGGAATAAGGTAGGCTTAAAGGGATTCTCCATGAAATTATAGGCTCTTACCAAATGATCGCACACTATATTCTATGTTCAGACTGAATTAGTGGGTTCTGCTTTGAGAAGCCAAGGTGAACTTCTGCCCTTATACTATCAGACTTAATTCTAATCCTTATATCTGAAGAAAAACACAGTGATGGATACAAGGTCCAGGGAGGCATAACGAATCTGATCCAGAGCTATGGGTCCTAATGTTTTGGCATTTATGGAATCTTTGAGAATTTGGTGCAATCTATTAACTCTCCCTGAAGAAAAGGGCACACACAAACAGCCCCTCCCCCTCTTGGCATGCATTTCAGAGGGCCACGGTTGGTCTGATCTCACCCAGGGACCCAGGTCTGAATCTCTAACCTAGATATAGTACAGGTGAAGGGAAAGAGGAACCAACATTTATTAACCATCTTAACACAACTTTCATTTCATATTCACGGCAATCTATTTTATAGATAAGGGAACTGAGGTTCAGAAAATTAAGATCTCACAGCTAGTTAGATGGAAAGGCAAACTTCAAAGTCAGGATTATGTGTTCCTAAATCCCACAATCTAAGTACTCCTTAGACATAAAAATTAATATATATTTATATTTCAATCTGGAAAGGAATCTTATTACAAAATCATCAAAAAACGAATACAAAGTCCTACCTGAACTTAGTAATATGTCTTGAAACTGGAAAGAGATTACTAGGGCAAATAAAAGTAAGCATTAAAAAAAATCTCAACCAACAAATAGTGTCCCGGTAGTTTTAGAGCCCTGAACACTGTGGATCAGTTGGGTGAGCGTCATCCTGTGCATGGGGAGGTTACTGGTTCGATTTCTGGTCAAGGTACATGCCTGGGTTTGGGGTTTCATCCCTGGTGGGGGGCGTTCAAGAGGCAGCTGATTGATGTTACATTCTCACATCGATGTTTCTCTCTTCCTCTCTAAAAATCAATAAAAACTATTCTTTTTTTTTAAAGGTAGTTTTAGATAAATCCAAGATTGAATAGGTTGTTGCTAGATTATTAAGTAATTTTAAGTGTCTCATTGTATCCCTGGGTTAACCTTGGGGAAAACAACCAGGTCTTGGCCTGTATTACTTGAAGCCCATGTCAATCCAGCTACTGGTCAGGATTGACCACGGTAGCATGGGCAACATGTTATTTTCAACCTACGTAGTGTTTCTTGTGTTGGTAACCTCACATTTCCCTCTCGGTAACCCCTGGGCATTAGTTCCTAAAATGCCTGATGGTTTTCTGAAGCTGATGTGCCCCCGAGACATGGAATCAGATTGACCTGAGAATTTGGTGAATCACATCTATTTGTACCTAGTAATGCCTAGTACATAGTGAGTGCTCAACAGATGTCTGTTTCCTTTACAGTCTATACTAAGGCCTCTGCCAGGTGAATTTTCTAACCTAAACTATAGCTACAAATATGGCAGTCCCTCACACGAAGGTACTATCACTTCTCATTATATTTGTACTTTTCTTGCAATTATTTATTGGTTTAAAATTTGTCTTCTCTCTCCCTCATTCTAAAATCAGACGCTCAGTGAAGGCACAGGCCATGATACTCACAGTGTCTGTGCTGACCTGTACAGTAGGCATTTAATTATATCTATTGCCGAACTGTGTGGATGATTACTGTAAGAATTTAGTCAACATGACTAAATTCCATTTTTAAAGTACAGATATTAAATACCATAGATTCACCCCTTTAAAAGGTACAATTCAGTGGCTTTCAGTATATTTACGAAGTTGTGCAACCATCACCACTGTCTGATTCCAGACTATTTTCATTGCCCCAAGAAGAAGATGCATATGCTGTAGCAGTTACTCCCATCCTTCCCTCCTCCCAGCCCCTGGCAATCACTCTTTACTTTGTCTCCATAGATTTGCCCCATTCTCTACTTTCATATAAGTGGAATCATATAATAGACAGTCTTTTATGTCTGGCTTCTTTCAATTAACATAATATTTTCAAGGTTCATCTATGTTGTAGCATGTGTCAGGAGTTCCTTCCTTTTTAATGGCTTATTAATATTCCATGGTGTGGACATATTGCATTTTTGTTTACCCATTCTAGACAAAATGATTTTAAACATCCATTCCAACTTTAGGATGCTACGTTCAAGTGAATGGCCACCACCTCGGTTCTTAAAGTAAATCAGTAAATCATCATGTTTCATAGTTGCTCTGTGCCCTCAAGTTTTCAAATCTTTCCACAGACCCCACAATCTTGTTGTAACCCATCAAGTTTACTTCCGGAACCCTTAAAACACTAAAATCAGATTCCTTACCTATTTCAGGATTCTGCTTCCCCCCACCCCATCTTCTCCTTACTGCCCACGCGAGTTCTTGAAACCCCTCACTCTGGAATGATGTACTTTTACAGTTCTGATTGTCCTGCTAATTGCTCTCAACAGATTTGGGTAGACTAAGGTTGAATGGTGCTTTCTCCCCACTCATCTCTCCCCTGTCCTGTTTGCTGCACGTGCAACATCACAAAATCGGAGGGGGGTGGGAAGGGGGAGGAGGGGAGCGGCGCGGGGGGAGCCTTCCTTTGTTTTCCAAGGAAATTCAGGTAAAAGGGGGGTGGGGGAAATGGTATTTTTTACTTTCCTCACAATCCAGACGTTAGAAAGAAAAAGGATTTCCTTTGGGTTGCTGCCATAACTCTGATCTTTTATGCTGATAAAATATTTCCTTCTAAAAAAAAAAGTTATGGGAAAATCATACCACTTCAGCTGGGAAGCTACAGCTAGTCTAACTTTCGCGTTAAGAAGAGAAAGAAAGAAAACACGAGAGGTTTTACTTCTGTTTCACAGTTTTCTTCCTGACAGTTCCGTCTGGCCACCGGGAGCGAGCCGGGTCTGCAGCGCGGCTGCGAGGCTGGCGCGGAGAACTACAGGATCCAGAGGGCTTTGGAAACTCCACCAGCTCCAAGCTTGTTGGCTGCTACGGTTTCCCTAAGGAGTGACGCTGCGAAAACAAACCCTGATTGGTCAGGCCCGAACTGAATTCTCCATTTATGGACAGATTGCCCTGCCCGAGCCGAGACTCGGCCAGAGGAGTACGGAGTTAGTGGCCGAAGAAAGAGGAGCGAGGCAGGGCAGCCAGGCAGACGCGCGGAGAGCATCGGACGCAGCCAGGCTGACGGCGAGCGCCCGGTCCGAGGGGACCCCTGCCCTGGGCCGCATGCGTCCCTCCTGCTGAGTAGCCTCCCTGTCGCCCTCACCTAGCGCCGCGGATCCCGCCTGGATGGAGTCCCCCTAGGGTTCCCATTGGCTCCTGTGAGTGCTTGGGTGTCGCGAGCCCGGTTTTGGCGAAGGGAACCAACTTTTGAAGTTTGCCCAGGAGACTTCATTCCAAGAGTCCCAGCTCCCCGGCAGCCCGACCAGCGGAGGCGCGACCGCGGTGCGAGTCACCATGGTGAGTTGGCCGCGCAGCGTCCCAGGTCGCCTGACCCCGGGCTGGGGCAGGAAGCCTCCGCGCTGGGCACCCACCTTGGGCGCGCTGCCCAGGCCAGGGGTGGAGAAGGTGGACGCCGGAGTCGGCACGTCGTGATCTCTGATTTCCTACTGCTTTCCTGCGCCCGGGGACGGGGGAGAGGGAGCGAGAGGCCAAGGAAAACTTTCTTTCCAGTCGCTTTCGGCGTCGCGAAACTTTTTGTGACCGGGTAGCGATGGCTGCCAGCTGTCGGAAGCCAGGGTGTTGGGGAGATGGGTGTGCAGGGTCACGGCGCTTGGAGGGGGGTCCCTTTCCTCCTGCTGGGAAGAAGGGGCAAGTCGCCAGTGCCCCTCTTGGTCCCACCGGCCGGGGCGCGGATCGCCGGCACGTTGGCGCCGGAGCCGGCCGCTGCGACCCCTCGTCCCGCGCGCCCCTCCCACCCGCGGGCACCGGCGCGGGGCTGCCTCGCTCTCCCACTCGCCAGGGCGCCGGCTCCGCACGCTGGTAGGGCCGGCGCGGGCTGCACAAAGGCCGCCGGGGCCCCAGGTAGGGCGAGCACCTGGCGGAGGGCAGGCGCCGGAGAGCGAAAGGGACCGGGTGCAGCTCCGAACTACGCTGGCCTGGACTTGGCGAGGAGCCGCCGGAGGGTCTTTGCTCTCCAGAGGCGAACTAAACACCCCCGCCCCCACTCCCACCCCTTCCCCGGTGCGAGGTGACCGGCCCTTTTCGGGTGTCTGGTGAACGGCTTGCACAGGAGGAAGTCGAGTTTTTTTGTTCCTTTTCCGTTGGCACTTGGGGAATACCTGGAAGTGGCCGGCTTTTTCTCTAACTTATTATGACTTTTCCTCCTTTGCCCCAAGTCCCCGCCCTAGCCACCCCGCCCCCACAGCCTTAGCCGCACCCCCGGGGCTTCGGTGTGCTTTACTTTCCCAGGCACAAAAGCCAGGGCTCGAGTTTGAAGGGGTTGGCGGTCCATCGGAAGAAAGGCGACCAAGTTCTACTGCAAGGCTTCCTCGTTTCCACACTGGAATAAGCCTGCGTAGGTGGACGGACTGGTCCTCTTCTGGTTGGGTTGGTTTTTAATGACTGAAAGTGCAGCTAAGTCAGAATGATAACCAGGACAGCGCTCATTTAACTATCTACCCCGCGTGACCAGCCTGAGGGGCGTGTAGCTCAGGCCCTTCGGAACCGGCGTACAAACCGAAAAGGAGCCCTTGGCCCAGTGCTGGGTTTGTTCAAAAGTATAATTAAAAACCAACAACATATTTAAAAGGTCAGCCTTGACCAAAGATTTTTTTTTCCACATAGTCCAAAATGATACCACCTTTGCCCCCTACCTAAGAAGACACTTGATCTGCAAATAAATTTCCTCGCTCAGTCGTAGGGTTTAAGAAGCACGTCTACCCCACCTTGTTTTGGGAACACCTATGAAGAACCATTTACTTAAGCTGAGTGTGTGTCTGGGTGGAGCTACCTAACTGGGCCACCGCCTAATTGGCCACTTAAGCAATATGATAGCCCTAGTACTTTAGAATTGCTATAATTATTTTCCATGGCTCAATATTTGTAAAAAAAGAAAGAAAGAAATCAATGTGTTTTTTGTAAAGAGCTTAAAGAATCTTACTGAATTCAAATGCTTGAGTGAGTGGTACCCTGAGAAAATTAACTTTCCCTTAGTGAACTTATTTTTCATGCTGGGCAGGCTAAAAACTAGTCTAGCCTCCTCTTTTTGGTGACTTCATGAAGGCGGTGCTCAGTTCGGCCCCATTGCTGGTGAAGGAGGTGATGGGGCATGTGGATACAGAGGAGGATGTTGAGCAAGAGAGTGGTTTCCAGAATCGTGTAGCGTGTCTATGGGAGGACAGGTGGGACTTACCTGTGGATGGCTTCCCTGCCAGCAGCACAGATGGCCATGTTGTGGGCCGCCTGGAGACTATCGGTGCATCAGATACGGTTGCCGAGGCCACGATTCCCTGACAGAAAAGTTGAAACAGCTGGCTGTCCTGAAATAGGAGATTTGCCGTGGCTTCATCTACTGGATCTAGAGTAATCTGGCAAAAATTCAACAAATCATTTCTTTGCTGGCTTGAAACATTGCATTTGTTCATTAGGTGGGTGAGGGTGCCTTAGAACAGAGATCAGCCTCTCAAATAGGAAGAAACCTCCGTTATGACGTTTTAAATGTTTATATAAAACCCTTCGAGCCAAATGAGGCTTCACATCTTTCTGGGTCTGCCCAGCTGCATCCCCCAGCTGCTTAGAACAGGAAGAGCTGGGGCATTGCCTTCCGAGGGTGTGGCTGAGGGTTAGCGTGGAGAATATAATTCATCAGGCCCTTGGCTGGGCTGTAAGGAGGGCACCTGTGCTGTGGTGTGTGTGTGTGTGTGTCCATGGCCTTTTAGGAAGTCTGGCAGGTCTCCATTAGGAAGGCTGTCCACCAAGACTCACGCAGTTGTGACTCATGAGGAAGACTGCCATTTTCTGACGTATGAACACAATATATAGTTTATATTTACCTGATATCTTCCTTCTGAAAACTCACTTTGGGACACTTTTCTCCATCTTTGGAAAACCGAGAATACTACTCTTAGGCAACAGAAATTTTTAGCAGACTTGAAGAACTGAGGGGGAAAAAATCTGATGTCTTTATAATTTTGTGTACATTAGTTAGGAGGGTATGACAATCTCTTTTGACTTTACTTAAAGTCAGGTTTAAAATTTTAAATTTAGCCCGGCTGGTGTAGCTCAGTGGTTGAGCATCACCTATGAACCAGGAGGTCACGATTCAATTTACATCCCCAGTGTAGGGCATGCAGGAGGCAGCCAATCAGTGATTTTCTCTCATCACTGATGTTTCTATCCCTTTCTCCCTCTCCCTTCCTCTCTCTGAAATCAATTTAAAAAAACATATTAAATTTTTAAATTTAACTTACGGTTTCCTTCCTAGAATCTTGCTTTATCATCATCCACAAAGGAAGCTAAGCTTTTGTGGCCATGACCAGTGTGGCCTGCTGAGGACTGGAGTCCGTGTCTATAACTCTGCTGTATACTTTGGACCTAGAAATGATGATTCATAGGTCTTCTGTGACTTAGGTAGACTGAAATATTTGAGTAATCGGTATTGGCCATCTCCTCAGAATATGTTCACGATATGTTTCCTTGTCCTTACTTGCATGTTACTTGTGAGTAAACGGCAGATGTTACACACAGAAATAGACCTATGAAAGTAGACATCTGATGGATAGCTGACTACAAGGTAGGTAAGTTCCTTTGGGCCTTGAAGGCATGACATGTATTTAGAAAGTCTGGAATCCATTTCAAATATGTGTTTTTGGGAATGTAACCTAGTCCATCCCCACTGATTAGTTTATCAGATTGCTAAGTAGTTTCCTGGCCAAAACAACACAATATGACAAAACAAAACCAGACAGAAATGGGATAAAGTGCCTGGCTGGTGTTGCTACGTGGTTAGAGCATGAGCCTGTGCACCTCTGGGTCGTGGGTTCAATTCCCACCGTACCAGGTTCGATCCCCCGCCCCATTTGGGGCACGTGTGGAAGACAACCAATCGATGGATCTCTCAGATTGATGTCTCTCTCTTCCTTCCTCTTTCTTTTCCTCCCTTTCACTCTAAAAATCAATTGAAAAAATATCCTCTGGTGAGGATTAACAACAACAATAACAAAACAAAGACACAAAAGAAATGGGATAAAGTGCAGAAAAGATTTGATGGAGGCAAGGAGGGCGAGGGAGGGAAAAGTGGAGGAAGCAGGCATTTGCAGAAGCTGAAAGCCACCGTTTTGCCCAGGATTTCAGCTGTCAGTGGTTGCAAACTCAGCTGTCTATAGAGGCCAGGATAGTTTCTGATGGAGTGAGGTTGGCCTCCTGAGAGTAAATATGGAACATATACCCATCTAAAGAGACACCATTACTTGATCCTAGGCCAGTGATGGCGAACCTATGACACGCGTGTCAGAGGTGACATGCAAACTCATTTTTTTTGGTTTATTTTTTTTTTGTTAAATGCCATTTAAATATACAAAATAAATATCAAAAATATGTCTTTGTTTTACTATGGTTGCAAATATCAAAAAATTTCTATATGTGACACGGCACCAGAGTTAAGTTAGGGTTTTTCAAAATGCTGACACGCCGAGCTCAAAAGGTTCGCCATCACTGTGACCTAGGCCATAGTTACATCGACCATATTACCAAATCATCTTTTTTTTAAGAGAAGCTGGAAATCCAGATTTTAATGCCAGAAGGCACATTTTTTTAAGTGTTCCGATCATCACTGAGAGGCCAGACAAACACCTGCAGGCCAGCTCTTTGCAGCCATTCGGAAAATCTCAAAGTGGTGGCCTGTGAACCACAGCGCTTCCTTCCTGTCACTCACCTGCGGGAACGTCTAAACTTTAGCCACATACCCAGAAATGGTGTTAGATTTTTATTGATAAAGTCACACCTTCCCACTGAGTTTCCATTGAGAACAAGTTAGTGCCTGGGCCTATGGAATCTCTTAGCTATGAAACTGGGGAAATCAGCATCCAGCTGCTACTATTCAGAGCCATCTAAACACCAGTGAGAGAGTTCTGTGAGTGGTGGCTATAAATTGAACTTCTCTTTCTTAACCCATCAATTCCCTCCTCCAGTGACAATACCAATCTACCCCCCCCAATATTGTATGATGCACCTCTTTTATTAGTCCCTTCCCAGTTGATTCTCATGAATTCAAGGTCTGTTTCAGGGGTCTATTCTTGGGACTAGATAATGAGCATTTTGGTAAATATGACTTTTTGCTCCTTAGTGTTAATGTCATGAACTCATGTGAGACTAAATGAAAGAGAACATGGAGTGCTTTTCATTTCCTGAGGGGGGTTGAGTCTTATTACTTATGAAGAACTTATGAAGGCTCTTTTCATCAGCTTCAAAAAGCAGAAATATTTTGAAACCTCTATAAAAGTGCAAGGTATTATGAACTTCATAATGGGATATATAGAATTACATGCAGTTGTGATTTTCCAAGTTTGAGCCACCTACTATTTTGTTTTTACAAAGATGCATGTTTTTATTAATATGTGATTAAAATGAGTTTCTCCTTGGTGAGTTTTTAATTTTTTTTTAACCTTGCTGAGACTTGATATTTACAGAGCAAATTAGGGGTAAAAGGTTAAATGCCAACGGTATTAAAAATAAACATCTTGGCCTTATAAGCACATTCTGTAATAATGGTAAACAAATTATGTTTTGAGTTTCAACTTCAGAATTTATTTTGGCAGAGACAAAAGGTTTTGGGGCATCCTAGCAAAGTTTTTTTTTGTTGTTGTTGCTTTTTTTTTTTTTTTTTACATATCTTTAGGACAGCTACACTTGAGGAGAGAAGTAGAACTCTAAGAATCTCCCCTAAATAGTGACATTGGCTTTGGCTAACCGGGGAACTTACACTGTACATCCATCAGCCCTCCTTCTGAGTTGCCAACCTGGGAACAATGTCATTAACATTGTTCAAAGCACTTTAGAATGGTCTTTTTTTTTTTTTTTACTTCCTTTGTGACCTAAAATGTTTGTATCCACCCTGATCATCATCGTACTCACCAGAATTAGCACCAGGTTCTTCTGAGCTGTTTCCAGAAGTTACATTCTGCCTCAACGGAGGAAAAATGGGCCCTACTGGAGATATGCAATATCGTGTAGAACGGGCTGTGGAGGCCAGAGAGGAGGTGGCTCTTTCCAGGATCAAGTACAAGAACCGCTCTGAAGGGGACCACACTCTCTTGTGTGTTCTGAGTTCTGATGTGCTTGTTAAAAATTCATTCACAGGACTTTATGATCATATGCTACATTGTAGAAAGTGAAACACACTCTCCATTGTAGAAAGCCCAGAAGCAAGCTTAAGAATTCTGTCCTAAATCTTTTGCTTGACTTCACGGAGATCTAGAAGAGTTAGATGACTTCTCAAGTCTCAGAGCTAGGTTTTGGCTGAGCTGGTGCCAGAATCCAGTTTTTCTGATGGCAATCGAAAAAGGCTTTGCCCCCAAACCATGATGGTGGGTTAGAGTCTATTTCCGTAGAGTCTAAACATGACCAGGTAATTTTCTTTCTGGGATTTTATTTATTTATTTATTTATTTATTTATTTATTTATTTATTTATTTATTTAAAAGTACATTTCATTGATTTTTCACAGAGAGGAAGGGAGAGGGATAGAGAGTCAGAAACATCGATGAGAGAGAAACATCGATCAGCTGCCTCCTGCACACTCCCCACTGGGGATGTGCTTGCAACCAAGGTACATGCCCTTGACCGAAATCGAACCTGGGACCCTTCAGTCCGCCGGCCGACGCTCCATCCACTAAGACAAACCGGTCAGGGCCTTTCTGGGGTTTTAAAAAATGCCTGCTTGGAGATGGAAGATTGCTACCTATTTTTGATTCATTACTATATTAACTTTAAAAGATTATAAGAAGTAAATCAGAATAATTCACCCAAAATAACACTACCCTAATCTTCATGTCTTTGGGTTTCCTTCTAGTCTATCCAAAACACATCATTTTATGTGTTTATAATTATGGGACAAATAAACAATTTGTGCTCTGTATTTCCCCACTTAATTTATAAATCCCTTTCCTTGATAAGCATATTTTTATCATATTTTGGTGGCGGTATAATAATCCCATGTTGCCCGATTACCCAATCTGAGTTATAACTGTACAGAGACCTCTCCTGTTGGGACAGTATCATTGTGTGATGCTGTGCGTTGGGAAGAGTTCCTCCTGCTCCCACTAGAACTGCTCTGGTCTGTAATGTGCTGCTCCTGTCAGTCCTCAGACCTGGAGCCCTTCTTTGATGTAGAGTCTGGAGCAAGACAGGCAGGCTTGGGGTGCACTACGCACTCCCAAGTCCTGGCCCAGAGGTGGGAACTGTTGGTATTGCCCTTAGATTATGGTGTTGGCATGCAAATGTGACACCAGTGGGAGCGCAAGCCTCTGGCTCCAGCTTGGCAAATACGAGTGGTCTTGTCAGAGAACGCAAGTGATTGGAGGTGGAGAGCTTTGATTCCTAAAGTGGAGAAGACAGAGCAGTTGCACAGGAGGTTAGTATACATGCTTGACATGTACTAGTAAGCATTCTTACCAAATATAATGGCACCACTGGGAATCCAAGATGACTTAAGTACTGCCTCTGCTTATGACGCGCTCATAGTCTAGTGGGGAAATGATAACAGAAGGTTTTCATAGAAGTGATTTCATTTCATTCTTACACCAATGATGGTTTTTGTTGCCATTTTATAGGTTAAAAAAACAACAACAAAGTGTGGCCAGGTAAAGAGAATTGCTCTGGGCCATATAACTTGTATATCATAAACCAAGCCTGCTAACTTTATGCTCTTTCAAAAGCAATTAGTTATTTCTAAAGTTGAAATTTCTGAATCCAAGTATCTGTATAACACTTCATCATTTCATATACTCCCACGGGAAGGCAAGCTTGATTTAAAAAATCATCTATTTTAGCTCATTTTACTTACTAATACCAGGGTAGAATAATTTAGACCTAAGAACATAGTCTATTATGACTAGTAACGGTCCAGATTTTAATTTCTTTGTTTTGGACCTTCGAATATCAGTTTTGGGACTAGATGACATCACACTGGAAACAAGCATGAAAGCAGAAGTCATGCTAGAAAGATTTTTTTAATCTCAATTAGATTTAAAAGATAGAAAATAAGGGAAATGAAATAACCACAAGAAATTCAGTTCTTTAGTCCATATATACATGACAGAAAACAAATAGGATGTCATATCATTAGTATCTTAGTAATTTAATTGGTGTGACCAGCATTTGATGTTGACAGCAACTTAGCATAGTATTACCTGGTAACAGTGATGGGTAGAACCAAAATTTAACATGGGTCATCATGTTTTGGACAGTATCATTGTCTGACTCTAAGGAATTTTCAACAACAACAGAAAATATAAGTTTGTTTTTTGTGTCCCCAAGGAGATGCAGACCTCTGTAATGGGAAATTTTGGATTTGAATGTAATAATAGCATTGATTGAGCTGTCCTAGGGTGTAAGTAAAGACAGCTTCCTCCAAGACTTGGGAATGTGCTAATGCAGAAATAGCTCTGCAAAGTGATACAATCAGATTGTCAGAGTCCTGAGGTCCTCTGAAGACGTGCTGGGAGCTATTGACCTGACCTGTTCTTTGACAACGTTTGCAATCG